CTTCCTATATATATATATATATATATATATATATATATACAAAAACTCATAAAGTTGCAATAGTGTACACAATATGAATTCCAAAAAAGATCAGCGACCGCCAATTAGAGGGGCAGCCATATGAGTTTTCGAACGATCCAAAATGTTCATTTAGAACCGAGTCCGCTTTATGACCTAGTGCACCAAATACAGATATATGCACACCAAGTTGTAAGCAAAAAAAACCGCCAACTTTTCAAGAAAAGAACTTAAACATGAAAAAATCAATGGAGAATTTACGAGATTACGAAGGGTTTAGTGAAGACAGCGAGAAAAAAACAAGACCATCAGAACTTCAGGCTTACCAGAAGGAAAAGAATCACAAGCATCGGTAATATTTTCTATTGAATATGGCTCCTATCAACAGATGACACTCAAGAGAAACCCAAATTAGCTACACTAGAAGAATATGACATATATACAAGAAAAGTTATAACGAGATAGTGATTCCATAACCTCAATTGCAATTGCCTACTAACCCCATGCCATGGAGCAAGCGTAATTAACCACCAATTTCCCATCAAATCCGAAATTCTGCAGTTCACACAGCAAAACAAAGAACAGCTATTTTAAACAGAATTGTGAGAAGATGACATGAATACATGGAATTAACCAAGGGGAATAGGATAAAATTTTCAGATATTAATACCAGAATACCGATGGTTTTCTAGGACTAATAGAAACACAACTGCTTTTGAGACCCAAACACCACATTAGCCACATATGCCCATGAATATCTGAACTTTCATAGTTTTAAAGTCAATATCAGGACATAGTTATATCTGGACTGGTTCTGAGACCATAACAAGACAACCTTGCCTAGCTCCAAGAATATCACTCCTACGCAGCAGGAAGAGGATCCACCATCTATCTTCATGCAGCAGGCAGACAGACGCATGCACGCATGGGGGGGGGGGGGCGGAAGAGAGAGAGAGTGTGTGTGTGTGTGTGTGAGAGAGAGAGAGAGAGAGAGAGAGATTTGTTTGTAATTTTTGTTGATTATCAATAATATTTTGTAAGCTTATCAGACAGAGAGAGAGAGAGAGAGACAGAGAGACAGAGAGAAAGAGATCATTTCTAGAACCATTTGATATTTTTCCATCTATTTTGGGGTTAGATAAAAATTTTGTGCATGGCATTCTGATACCTCGTAAGAAAATAAGTAGCATTTTTATAATCCTCCAGCTGCTTGATAGCCGATAATGCTACTAAACCCACTAGTAATAGTAACTAAGAGGCATGCTTATGATACAGTTGCTTAATGCAACAACAATCTTAGATTTTATTCACTTCCCGTGCAATAAGCAGGATACTTTAGTTTACTACACTCTGATGAATGAAGCCTCAAAGCAGGTCGCAGGGGATCTGTGGTTTTATGCTTTCCTAGCACAACTACATGTGGGATCTCATGGCATAAGTAACATAAGATTGTTAAATACAAGCTATATCATGCAATTTGCATCAAGAAAAAAGAATCACACCCCGCAGTCTAGGGTTTAAGATGAATATAAGGATACATCAGTGGGATCATGTGGTTCCACACATTTCTCAAAGATCAACATATTCAATTAGCCCTTTCAACATTACATATATAAATCTCCTTATTGTGACTAGCTACCAAGTCAATCCATGTGGCTCCCAGTCCAGTCTTCCATGAAGCAACATGCTAAACTAAGGTTAATTGGCACTTAGTGCAAGACAGATTTCTTGCAATTGAGGTACTTCCGGAATTTCTACCTGTGAAAAACCTTGCTACCGTTTTATTAAGGCCAGAACTAGCAAGTTCGCATAAAGTCTTAGTTGGTAAACTCTCACTCAAATGGCGGGAAGTTACACATCTATATGTTTTACAATAGCCTATAGGCATCATTTTTGCCATTCGTCAATCAATTATTTAATCTTTATTGTAGAATAAATGGAAGGGTGAATGTGTCCTCTATCTTGGTTTTACATAAATACCAAAGGTTAATTTACTCATTTATACCCCATACACTGGTATATACAAGCCAGTATTCTTTGTTTTATATGTGAATAAATGCATTCTCAACATAAGGGTTCTTACATAGTATAGGAGGAATAACAATCAAAAAAACAACTACAAGATTAATGATCATGCACGAGCTGTGAAAACTTACATCATACAGATCGATCACCAATTCATCCGGATTGGGTGAGAAAGCACTGTTGACATAAACGAACTACCAAGCAAGAAAACAATAAAAGGAATATTGTAAAAAGAAACGGAGTCAAAATTCAATCTATGACAAATAAGTAACAGAAATAAAATAAAAGAGGATCAATAGTCAGTCTGTATATTTCAAAATAACAAATGTTTTAGAAATCACAATTCAATAAATATTTCCATTTCTTCAATATTATAATATAGTAATAGGTAAAGATGGAAGACAGAAGATAGAAACACGAATTCAGTTTTTGGAACAAACAATATCGTAATTTTAGTTTTAAGGTTATAAGATTGATACATGTCATGGAAACTATAATCACGAAATTTACTTGTAAGACTTTGAAATAAACGGAGAAAATTTTATGGTTTGCTAGTATCACAAAGTCTTTTTTATTGGCAAGATGTTTATATCAGAATGGTAATTGACACATCACAAAGCTACCTTTTTTCTCAATGCAATCATGGAAAGCACTCAATTCTGTGATTGGTGATAGTTAACCAATCATTGGCCCACAATTTTGCTGGTCATTAAATAAGTAATCATGGTCCAACAATTTATTTTCGAAGTCATAAATTACTGTTAATATATTCAAATTAGAGCCACCCAAAATCGAAAATTCAGATCATGTAAAAATAAACTCACAAGTGTCTCCCGATGAAGTTGTCTCCGAAGAAAATCAATGACTTTCGCAAACTTCTCAGTCCCTCCTATCTGTACAATGTAGAGTCAGAATTATTAGATGGGCCAGTTTTATACATACAACTATTTGAAACTATAGAACTCAAACTGAAAATATCTAAGAATGGACATGAGAGTAGTTTCTCAAGAGAGTTTGGATTGAACAGCAAAGACAATATTAAGTGCTTCATCAGTCACAAAATCAAGTCTTTGTCAATTTAAATTCTCAAGTCTAAGAACCCCCTCACAATATCAATGAAGTGAATACAAGCTATATGGAACTTCAAGACAGAACAGAAACCATTAAAATGGAAATGCAACGAAGTCAGAAGTACAGATTTCAAAGGAGTTTTGAGTGAAAGATCTGAAAGCTCCATGGCCATATTTAGCCCTATAAAAGGTATTTTAATTGAAAGTAAAAGGAAAGAAAAGACAAAAGGAGGAAACTTGTATAGTTCCACTAAATATGACAGTAAAAGAGCATCACTTTCCCTTGATTTGAAAGATCCATAGGCTAAGGGAATAGTGTTTCTGAGACCCATCCTTTACTGAACAAATATCTTGAAAAGTTTTATCAATTTTGCCCATGATCCAAGGTAAAATGTCTAACATCTGTGCGCTAGTGTTCTTTCCAATGTTTAGTTGGCCAAAGAAGGACAGACAACATAACTTAGTTATGACTACTGATGTTTAAATTAAGGCATTTAAAACAAGGTTCTAAAATCAAGACTCAAACTCAAATATATGAGTCAGTCTCTACCATCCAGATAATATATGTAGTATACAACATATAATATTATAAAATAACATATTAGGATAGAGAGCCCACAAATTTTTATAAAACAGGATAGGGCCCCCGATAAGAAAATATAAAAGGATCTTCAGTCATTACTCCAGTATGAATATGGAATGTGGCTTCATTTACTAGTTACCACACAGGTGAGTCACCTGAATGTTGCAAGCATCAGAGGTTAAACTCAGGTGACTTTGCAGAAGCCTGAATCTTAGGGCAGATTGACATATGGGTGGTGCCAAGTCAACCCACCAATTTTTAAAACTATGACGCAAGCATCAAAACAAGGACCATTCTAAGAAAAAAAGGGCATGTACAGCATGCATTTATTTCTTGCCATTTCTATGTCACAAATGCATACCTGACTGAGTCTCAGAATGTGCAAAGTCATGAACATGTGTGCAAGGCATGCACCAGCATGCTCCAAGATAGTCACACACATGGCCATGCATGTGTGTATTCTGCCCATGGAATTGTATCATGCATGTTCACTCTCATGCATAGGAGGATGAAATGAATTTTTAGAGACCACACACAAGAAGATTTATGCAAGATGGTGCATCAATTACAATATTCATGAGTAAGGTGTGCAACAGGGCAGCTGAAATCACAATGGATGGAGTCTTCCTTGCAAGATCTTATAGTGTTCAGGTCCAACATTCTCAAAAAAATAAATGAACAAATGGATTACCTAATAGTTTCAAGGAAAGGTTGAGCACTTGTATCAATTCATCATCAGAGCCTTATCCCAAATATTTGGGGTCGGTTACACGAATCTTGTTCCTCCATTCTGCTCTATCAAGGGTCATACCCTCAATAAGATCGTAAGGGAACGCCCTAGCATGAGCAGATACTGTAGATTCATTATTAATGAAAAGTTGCGGCTGCGCACCTAAACACAACCCTCCTCTTTACCCATGCTGGTGACCGGCAGGGGGCCGCCGGCCAAGGCGGAGTTATAGATGAAGCACTCGCATCAATTAACAAGGAAAAACCAACTTCGGGCCTATTGTCACAAAATTGACGGAGGAGAAGAGAAAGTCAATCCTCAAAGCCTTGGGACATCAGCATATACTGATGGATTGCCTTCAAATCGTCAATCTCCCAACCTTATAAGCCAAAATTAAATGCAGCCTAATCAAAGCATAAACAATCCACCAAGAAGCTAGAAACCACAACATGTAGGTGTCTGGGTATACATGTGGATGACAAAGGAGTTTTTACATCTCACAAGTTAATAAAAATATTATCAACCAGTAATAGCAATTTGAGTCCTTAACACATTATTAGATTCTCAAAGAGAGTTTTGCCCAGATTTTGACACTGTTCTAATTGGGGGGAGAGAGAGAGAGCTGTGCTGGGGGAGCGGAAGCCTTAAAGTGGTGAAGCCCTCTTCCGAACACTATTAGATCAAGCAAGGTTTTGCTAGGCTTCACGTGGGCCAAAAACCAGCAAGTCAATAACCTTGGATCGAAAAGCTCTAAACCAATGAGAACAATGACCAATCAAAGCAACATACTTTACTTCATAACTAACAATATTAATGAAGGGAATCCCCATAGTTGAGATCAAATCCCTTGACCTTCAAGTCATATCCAGGAAATATCAAAGGACAGAGGTAGAAAAGTCGATGTCTAAATCGAACATGCGACAAGTACAGAGTCCCAATCGACATCCTTAAAAACATGGCCTCAGTTAGCAAGTGATGGCAGGTAAAGCTATGACGCTCATTTGCGGCTACAATTTTTTTTTTGTGAGATGTTTCACCAATGACGTAAGCCAGAGTTCAGAGGTGCGCCACCTGTAAAAGATATGATGGACAAGTAAAATTATGACATGTAGGTTTAACAAGTCCTTCTTAAGTATCAGTGTAGGAAAAGGTTTACACCTCGGGTGCCCAGGAAGCACCCTCAGGCAAGGCGGAGCCATAGGAAACTCACCTAGCCTAAGGCAGCCTGCCATAAGTGGGCCAGCCGTGGGCAGACGCCTAGGAAAGCACTTGAAGCCTCAGGCCCAGGAGTCTGCCCAGGCCCAAGGGTGGAAAATGTCCTCGAGCCATGAGCAGTTCCATCATTTGCCCCCATCAGTAAGGTATTCTAACCCTTCATTTGTTCCCTAAAATTTTTTCTTTAGGAAAAACTTCAAAAATCTCCTTTTCAGAAAATTTAGTCAAATTTGAAAAAAGGAAAACTTTTACGAAATCAAATCAAACCCAAGTTTTTCAGATTTGAATTTTGTGCAAAATACCAAGGGAGGTTGCAAGAGAATATTTAATTTAAAGACTTGAGATTCCTCAAAAACATCAAGGATCGAAAAACAACAAATAATTTTTAATTAAGTTTCTTTGCATTTGAGATGTTTTCTTCCATTTGTTGTAGATGTGGGGATCCAGGTTGGAAAAATGGTTATTAACTCAATAAAAGTGATCAAGACAAAGAGAAGTTGAGGCGAGGTAGATAAATGGGTTCTCTCTTTAATTTTAAAGGAAAAAGATGGATTCTTTCTTTATTCATATATTAATTACAGATAAATGGAGCCTCATCTCTCTCTCTCTCTCTCTCTCTCTCTCTCTCAAACATGATAAATCACAGTGGGACATTGTCCTCTCTCTCTTTCTCTGTCTTTGTCTCAAACATACAGTGGGGCATCGTCCTCATTTTCTATCTAGGATGCAGGAGGGAGGGGTTTGGGGGACCATAATATCCCCCCAAACCCTTTTCCCCTTATTAGGGGAAAAATCTCAAAAACAAAGTCCCAAAAATGCCCCCGGCCAAGGGCATTTTTCCACCTTCGGCCAAGCTGCTCCAAGGTGCTTCCTCAACAGCGAGCTAGGACACCCAGGGTGCCCACCTCGGCATTTTGGTGTCTTAGCTGCCTAGGCGGTCAGGCGGCCGAATTTTGAAACAATGCTTAGGAGGACCACTAGATCATCGGTTACTCTTGGGACACAGAGGAAGAGGGGGAAGACGGAGGAGGCGATTAATTATGAAGATATTCAGGAAAGGGACATTATGTTGAGGAGGGTAATGACTCCAATGGTGCTGGCCTGCAAACAAATAGACGTATTTTGAAGTTTGAGGTTGTAAAGAAGATTAAGTTTAAACATGATGCACTCCATTTTCATTTTATTCTTGTTTGTTTTGTGCCACTTTCTCTATGTTGTGAACTTATGTGATTTGAGTTTATGTTTGTCATCCATATGGCATCAGGAAGCTATACCTTTGTGGTTGTGTTACATGTGCCATGTGCAAAATGTGACTCATCATTTACTTTTGAACTTGAGGTTTCCCATATTACTCAAAATTTGAATGTTCCATTAATTATACACATACTTCACAAAATACAAACCTTATATAAAAGTATGTAATTTATTAGAAGTATTATTTGTACAGTATATGCACCAATATCATAGACATTACAATATATATGTCTTACATACATATCTATGTATATGTGTAAGGCTGGAAGCCACACATATGTGGCTAGCCCACGCAGCTCAGGTGATGCCTACCACCTGTTCTAATTAGACAAGTAACAATTAGTTCATCAATATTTCAAAGATAAGCCCTATATCACACCAAGGCGAAAGGCAATGCCGCAATGGTGACACCAAAAATATTCTGTCAAACTTGGCATTACTCAAAATTTGCTACATGCAGCAAGACCTTTTACCGACCTCCTCAAAATACGGCAAAATAATCATTAAAAGTTTCCAACAGTGGAGCTCTAGAGTCTAGATGATGCCTTTGATGCCATCATTGTTATAATAAGCCTGTGATGAATGGATTGGCAACGAAATGCTTTCAGTCAATGAGGTCCTTGCTCACACCGACAAGCATTAGTTTGTTAAGGACAGTTGGTGCCAATTTGGGTATTCAATTCTCCTGTGGCAGCTGGCAATCATCAATCTCTAAAAATCTAAGTCTCTTAAGGCAATCAGTGATGCTTGTTATTTTAATATATCAGCTCCCTCGGTTCCAATTGTAACATGGATTCCAACTCAGGGAGATCATCCTAGGATTCAAGAGTTCAGACATACACCTTGAGCCGATTCCACTCAACGGGCTGCCAGAATGAGAACAGAGTGTTCCAATTTGAATGATAAGGTTAAGCTAATTCACAGATTCGGCTGTGATTTTCATAATGAAAAACTCCCACCAACTACATCAACTTGGGCAAATATGCTAATAAGTTGATCTTTTCACATTCTTGTAGCCAAATCAAAAATCAACATATTGAGTTTCATACCTTATGAGTCCCCATAGGAAACCATAGTTAAAGAAAATAAGTCATGGTTTGATGGTTTATGTCTTGATTTAAACTTTAAGCATCCATGCAGATATATTTCAATAAACTACTTGTTCAACCAGCATCAGTATTTCTGGAAGAAAATTAAATCCCGAAAAATAATGGATATTTCATCAAAATAAAGCCAAACAGAAAGAGAAATAGCAATTTCAAAGACTCATATCCACAATGTGATTGCCCCAAGCACCAAATAAACCGAAGTGTTTACAAATCGACCATAATTCACAAAACCCCATTAATTTCTAATAATAAAAACCAGAAAAAGAAAAATAATGACAGCTAAAATCTATCGACAAGAATACTAATATAACACAATTCACGCAGTGTACTCATTGCTTATAGGGCAATCTTTATCTGATGGATAATATACAATATACATAGATATAGAAAAATGCTCAATTAACAGCTCAAGCCATAAATTGAAGCAAAATGTAAGTCTCTCCTCTAATAAAATTCCACTTACACGAAATAAGAATGCAAATGGTAGATTGAGAGATATAAAATGTGGAAAAACATAGAGAGTTGATCTATCACATTTAATGGAGAGAGAGATATATGATAGTCTCCATCGTTGTGCGACGCAATGAACAGAACCGAGAGAGACGGAAAGGGGGAGAGAGGGGTATTTACCTTGAACTTGGCTTGCTTAAGAATGGGGGCATCACCAGTCGCCCTGAGATGCACAACCACTGATATAACGCCATAGAAACAGGAATAGAGTTAGGAAGTGATGAATTGAACAGGTTTCACGAAAAATAATGATTAGGGTTTCAAATTGGGGGCAAGGTCTCTGACCTTTGCGCGGAGTAGCAGGCGATTCAGCAGCCATCTCTCAACTGAGATTTCTTATATTCCGAGAAACAGAATCGTTGAATCGTTGGTTCTTTGCAGTTTGCAGAAGAACAGAAGAGAGAGAGAGAGATAGAGAGAGAGAGGTGGATTCACAGGGGGAGATCAGATGAGAGAGAGAGGTGCATTCACAGGGGAGATCGGATGAGAGAGAGAGAGGGAGAGACTCGGCGAGGAACGAGGGAGAGGGGATGTTTTAAAACAGAAAAAGGGCGCCGCTAATATGAGTCTGCCGGACTCATATGTAGATGTATGTCCTCCCTCCGTGATCCACACTTTTCATATAGATATTGAACCTAATTTGTAAGAATATATATATATATATAAGGTTTCTATAAGGTTGCACTTTTAAACAAATCTCATTAAGGAGCATCTCTAAATTTTATTATAACATGTAATTTTGGTGTAAAATTTTTTTAGGATTATCGTAAAATCTATTTTTTAACTAATTATCAAATTCTAAACTCTAAAAATAATTAAAATCAAATAGATTTATAAATATATGAAAATCTTAAAAATAGACAGTCTAGATAATGTATTACAAAATACATTATTTTTGGGACTCAAAATCTTTTTCTTCTTTCATATTCATACATCTGGTTGTAGAGATGAAAAATTATAGGGTTTTTCAACCTTAAAACACCTTTTTATGATAGATTTTTGGGTTGTAATTCTACATTTTGAGGTTGCAACCTTTTATATATATATGTTGGGCAATTACAGGGTTTTATATATATGTTAAGCAACTTTTTCTTATAGATTATAGGGTTTTTCAATATTAAAACAATTTTTTCTGATAGATTATAGGGTTTTTCAAAATTAAAATAACTTTTTCGGATAGATTTTAAGGTTATAACTCTACATTTTTGGGTTGTAATTCTATAATAGTTGGGCAACTATATGTAACTATAATGAATAGTAATATAAGTGGAATCTCAGTCGTCAAATCTTCATCATGTGGTTCAGAATGCATATCATCGTTAATTTTTTTTCTATAAATCTGATTAAGATTAAATTTTGAGTGTATATACTTAGTACTATTGCGCATCATATAAAAATATAAATAAATTATTTTCAATTAGTTAAAATTATCAAATTATCCTCATCATTTTTAAAAGTATTTCGATTATTTTATATTTTAAAAAACATTTTTATATATTTTTAAATTATGGACCTTATTTTTATATATTTTTTATTTTTATATATTTTTAATTGTACGTCCTATTTTTATTACATCCACACGGATGCTTGGTGCATTGGGTCGACGCTAATGTAGAACTAGGTCCTCGAACGCACAGTACCCTTTCAAGAGGGAGTAATTAGGTAGTCTATTCTCGCGGGAGTATAATATCTTTTGGCTTTTCTCTTATATTAACCCCACAAATTCAAAGTGTCGCTCCCCACTCGATCATGTCTTAGCAGTGAAAATGCCTGTGAAATGGTAAGATCTCTCTGAATTCATGGCTACGGCTTTGCTCTTTTTATATATGATCACATTACAAATTTGTCAGAAAATGAGACATTCACATGACACTGATACTGGATTCTTGGGTTTTAGGGTTTGCGATTCAGGGTCTTGATTTCAGGATTTGGAGTTATAACTTCTAGGGCATTTGGCAGAGGGTTTAATGGCTTTGGTGTACAGATGCGATAAATTGTGTTTTGATTGAGAAATCTATGGATTAGGCATGCTTCTTTTAGAGTTTTAGGGTTTTGGGGTTTGATTTCAGGGTCTGGGTTTTCAGGTTTAGAGATTAGGAGTGCAACATTGATAAATCGAGTTTTTTGGAGCCATTTTTCTATGAAGCTCTTCCTGCTATTTGATTTTTTTTAGGGTTTAGACTGTGGGTTTATAGTTTGGCGTAATTTCAGAAAATTACCTTCGTGTTGAGAATCATTATAGGTTAGATATTCTGTTTCCTTTTTTTTTTTCAGGAAATTGATTGCGCAATTGAATTGGTAAACCCCGTTTTCTTGTCATTCATTTTATGATATTTCATCAAAATCCATGAAAAAATTACTTACATTGACAATATGTAGTACTGTAGTGGTGATTTTGGACTCAATATGGTTTCTCTAGAATGTTGCAATTTTTATTGAAGCCTTAAATGATGCCAATTAATTTCTATCCGCCATTTTTTTCATAGGAGTTGGTGTTTAGTTTCTCTCCATATGTGTAGTATGATAAAAATTACATAGTAAACAACAGGATTGAAAATAAAAAGAAAAAAAGAATTTTCTATCTTGATGATGGATCACCTTAGAATTTGTTGACTATCAGAAATTTTTTCAGATAAGTGTTGAAGTTCTGACTTATTCGAGATAATAACCAAAGAACTATGATGTGATTGAGATGGAGGGATTTGGGATTGGGCAACATTATTCTTCAAATTTGTAGAGATTAATAGAGTAGAATTTTTTTTCTGATGCCCCCGAAGTGATTATCATCCTCTAAAATTCTTTATGTTTCAGTTTCAGTTTGTGGACAGTGTTTGCATTACTGAATATAAAGGATTGGGGCACATCTTTCCTTTCCCAATTGAAATAAGATGGGTTGCTCAAATAGTTTTATAGAACAATTGCTATTGTTTTTTCTTTTTTATTCCATTTTTTAAATTATCACATTGAGGTTAATGGGAATTGCAGGTTGCTGCACTGGCAACCAAATGCCGGAACTACCATCAATAGTCAAGTACTCACAGAAGTTTCCCAATGTGTTGAGGGTATTAATGGAATCAAAGGAGGGAGATGGAAATCCACCCTCTCTATATACAAAGCCATTGCTCGAGGTATCTCCAAAATCCTTCAAATTATATATTTACTATTATTTTACCTCGTAAAGTCATTCTCAATGTATAGAATATGTTTCATTGGGCTCAGTCTATTTTTTTTCTCTTTTTTGCATAGACCTAAATGCCCCTCTTGAATGTGCCCGGGATTTCTTGGGCATTTCATTCCAAGAGCAACCCAACAAGCATTATTTCATCCTACGTGGTCAGAGGCTTGTGCTTGAGGCAGATTCTAACATCCAGTCGATAATGGAGAAGTTGCAATCATATAGGACCCGAATATCACTCAATATTGAGGTCAGCTATTGAGATTTGGGGTCGTAATATTTTGTTTCACCAATCTATGAAAACAAGGAATAAGGTGTTCACTGCACATTGGGTTAGACAATTAGTTAAAGTTCGATATAGCAAACATGCATTTCTAAACATCTAGTTATAAATAGTGTAATTCGATTCACAAGAAAGATAATAGGTGTTAGAAATAATAACTAGTTCTTATCATACATAGGATTTTAGGATTGCACTCATGCTAACTTTATTTTATTGCATGTGTTGTATATATTTTTTATTATTTTTTATTAATAAAGTTACATATTATTGGTGACATTATCCTTCCATTGAAATATTACTTTTCTTGGCTATGATCCTGGTATTTTCAATCAAAACCCAAATCTCTACCACAATGTTTTCTTGCCATGTAAGCAGGTTACCACAATATAACACCCTAGCTGCAAAGGATTTCCTTGATCTCTCATACAAATATAATCTAACAAATGATTTAATTTTGTGTTCCTGCCATATCTATCTACTATTACTAGATATTTATTGCCATTCAGTTTCTCCCTAAAGATGATCTTCTTTATATTTATAAAACTATTTTTGTCTTCTTTCCACTCCAGAGACCGAAATATTCAATTGCAGGTATCTAAACACTAACTTCCTTATATGTTATTTCTTTTTCTCTCTTGTATTCTCAGTTTTATTACAGTTTATGAAATACATGTCCCTCCATGAAATGAGTTTTGATCATTTGGGAAATTTTTTTGCTCTCCCTAAAATTGATGTAACCGAGTAGAAATTTGACATGGAGATTCCAAAATATGAGGTGTGGATTTCCATATTTTGATATTAGATAATAGTTCCAATTAATAACACCTTTGCTACTATATGGGATCGCTATGATGCAAAAAGCAAGATGAGTATCCTGATTATGGGAACAATGGTGAGCTTCCATCAAGAGACGTCTTGGATACTTACTTCTTTAGGTTTGCTCAGTTCTTGGGTTTGCACATGTGGATTAATAGCATTTTTTATGACTAAGTATTGTGTTTTCAAGAGGAGGAATCCTACTAAGCTTTCAGAAACAGAAAGGGGGACCCTTATCCCTGTGATTTGGTTACAGAGTGTGCATCTTGACCAAGCTTTTGGCAATCTTGCTAACCCATGTTGAGAGGTTTTTCAACAGAAGCAATCAGCATTCTTTAGATTTTCTAAAAACTAAATGGTTTGTTGCATACTTCATTAGGTTGCTAGAGGATGATAAACCTGCTTATTTGGTCAGTAACTTTAGGTTTTTCTGGGAAGATCAATGGCCTGTCTGGTCAAAAGTTGCAATAGTAATGGCAATGATAGGGATTGGCAGGGAATTTCGAACCAGGTAGTTTAGCATTCTCTAGGACATAGTTTAGTGATGGGATCAGATATAAGGTAGGGATGCAAGTAAACTTCGATATCTTGATGGATATGATTGGGATCCGTGTAAACAAGGCTCCGAAGCTGCATCATCTTGGATTCCATCTCTGTCGCTAGTGTGTGAATACATCGTGAGTAGGGGTAAAGAGTTATTCTGGTGCCCAAGTTTTGGAAGAACTAGAGAGGTCTGGAAAAATAAAATCTGGTTTACTTTTCAGATTGTCTAGAAAAGAGAATATCTTTGAAACAGAAGATATTGTGTAGTTAGGTTGTCTAGAACAGAATGTATCTTGAACAGAAGGTTGGATAAGAGAGTGTGGAAGTGAGACAAGACCAGTACACTTCCTGGTTTTATAGTTTGCTGTGATCCTTCACGGAAGGGTGTTAGGCTCTGTAGACTGCTTTGTGTGAGTGTCCCAGTCCCTCCTTGTGCTCAAACTTTTGGCTGGTTGGCCATGATGGACAAGATTCTAGTGATGAAACATCTCCAAAGCCTGGAATTCAAACCCCAAAGTACGCCTAATATTTTGGGAGAGTGGAGACTGAGGAGAATGCAGACCGTCTTTAGCTCTTCTGTTTGTACCTCGGGTGTATACTTCTTGAGCCTATTTGAAATGGCTTGGTAAGGCAGTTCATCATTTGTTTTAGTCTGCAATTTTTTCTATTTATTTGTCATCGTTTTAATATTTTGAAGAAGTAACTAGTGGTAGTTCTAGCTTTTATTGGTGGTACTTTCATTACAATTTATCAAGTATTTATCTAAAGAAATGGATCATGTTTGTGAAATACTAGGGACATGAATTGTTAGAGAGAGTAGGCGGGATGTATTTCTGGTCCAGTGCACCATTCATGTAAAGATTCATTTACTCTGGAAGATTTATTCCTTGTTCCCAGGGGATTTTCAAGTGTTTTTATAAGTGATATTATGCAAGGATAATGTATGAGAGATGTAGTGATTACTTGGCTCTATTCCTCAAGGAATTCAAGGGATTGAGGGCTATGGACCTTATCCAAGAATGGAAGACATTAGCTTGTAGAAAGATTTCGAGTGCTACCTAAGCGCTAGATGAGGAAAATCTCCAAAGGCTACTTGAAATTCAACTTCGCTAGTCGGGCCTCTCGGAACCTTGACTAGACTAGGATGAGCATTGCTAATATAATGTGAAGACAGGCTTCTTACTTCCTTTGTTTGGAAGTTGGCATCTGCACTTCTTGTTGAAGCAAATGCAGGGCCTTATTGGTAGATTTTAGTTTTTTCTTGCAGTTCTTATTGGGCCCACTAAAGGTGGAAGGTGATTCACTTATATATTTGTTTGTTTTTTTTTATTTACTGATAAAAGTGACTCATTTAATGGTGTTAAATTAGTATAATTACAGTACCTCTAGAGTGTCACCATTAAGAAACACTTCCCATGTTAGCAGACAGAGGACTTGTTTTCACTCGTGATTTTGGAAGCTAATGGGGGAGGCAGATACCAGACAGACATCGTAATTGGAAGAGATTTCCTATCCATTTTGGATGCGTTCCCATTCACAAGAGATGTGCCAGGTATTTGTCCTTTGGTTACATCTTTGCACTTAATGTTCATCTATGATGTGCAATCATACTTGTTGAATACATCATTGTATGTGATCAAAGAGGGGAGATGAAAAGAGAGAATTCCAAGCAGAGAAGTATAGGCGGATGGGTTAACACATCCGGAGAATTGTGAAAAGGCTTCAGTTGATGATGTAGAGTCAAGAGAAACATTGTTTAGGAAATTAGGGTGGGAGGTAAGGCTGTTTTCTTGTCTAATGTTATTGTGGACCCTTTCATCTAGCTCTCTCAACTGAGGTGCTTGTGAAGTATGTGATGAATGCGTGGCCTTTTAGAAGGAGCGTTGGAAGTTTGGGAAAGACCATTCTTAGTGGAAGACATGTCTTTCTTAGTGAATGGGATGATGTCTAGATTATATGGTTTTGAAGCCAAATAGAAATAGTAGCCATACGCCATTTATTTTTTGGGCATTAGTGGTGTTTTGATTGAGTCTTTCAAGGATTTTTGTTCTCAAAAAAGATTCTCTCAAGGATTTCTTTCATTCATGGTAACCCACCCCCCCCCTCCCCCCTCTATAAGGGTGGGGAAATGGGAACATTTAAAAAATGGATTGGTGACACAGATCACCCCACCGGATATCCGATCTGTTTTGGTGGATCAGCAATCCGGTTTTATTGAACCCGAAATTTAAAAAAATTAAGTGGTGCCAGTTTTGGCCGTTTCTATGACAAAACCGGTCAGTTTTATGAGAAATTAAAAAAAATAAAATAAATTAAGTGGTGCCGGTTCTGGCCGGTTCTGTGACCAAACTGGTCGGTTCTGTTATAGATCGGCCCATAACTAGTTGATTCGTGGCAGGGCACCGGCTGGTTCCCAATATTTTATGGAATTGGGATCGGGATTGTCCAGTTCCTATCTGGACCACCAATTTTTCTAACACTGGGTTTGATATTAGTGAGGAGATTGTGAGTTGGAATTCCTCAGAATTTGGCATTTTTGGGTGAGAACAGTTGAAAGCAATTGATATTAATGGAGTGTCATCTGATCTCTTTGACCCTTATATGATTTGTAGGGGTGGACTTTCAATCTGCAATAGAATGAGGATATGTATACCTAGATCGCCAACTGATTATGCTGAAAGGCCTCCATTGAACACCACCAAATCAGCCTGCACCTAGTAAACCCTCGTCCTTATGAAGAGGAAAAAGTGCTAGAATGCCCAAGTCAAGTGCCGGTATGTTTGAACTTTTTGGTAGTTCACTGGAAGGATTTGAACTTTGGACATAGTATGGCAAGTTTAACACCTTAACCAATGAAGCCCAAGCCCAAATCCTAAGGGTGGCTAGATTTACATCATATACTATTACTTTAACCTTTTATATTTGTGCTAGAAAACATTATATATTTTGAAACAACCATAGCGAGAGCTTTGTGCTTAAACTGTGGCTTGTGGCAGTTTTGATTATGTTTAAACGATGGCCCGTTAAGTTTTGAAGCTTTTTATATCTTCACGAACAACCAACAAATCAAGAAATAACGGACGCTTATCGGAAAACTTTTTCCTTTTCAAGGTGGTTCTTATACTTAATATGCATTATTTCAACCAAATCTCACACCTCTTGTCGCTGTTTTTTGTCCAATATTCTTATTAGTGTAGTGATTTATGGATCTCCTATACTTGTTAAATCCTTTACCTTTTTTGTTGTTTTGATTTGTTATTCAGGGATTTCAATATCAACTTGGTGACTTTCTGGTGAAGATGGGAAAAGTTGTTATTACTCATTCTGAGAATTTGAGGGGCATTGTTATGGAGGTACTCATTTCCTGTACCATCTGTTGAAGTATCTGGTTATTTAGATGAACTGATGAATCACTCCCTCACCCTGTTTCTGAGATCTCACTATTTTGGTTTTTATTGTGTATGTTTGTTTTCTCACCTTGAATTTTATTTCGACCTGAATGTCAAAAGCTCTATTTTCTCCACTATATTTAGGCGTTGCCTCACTCTACATACGAATGGGGAAACCCAACCTATTTCTATTCACAGAAAAACAGATGCAACATAAATATCTTAGAACCAATTATCGAACACCTTTTAAATTTTTTGTTTTCAAATTAATAAGTTGCACAACATAAATATTTCATAACCACTCCCAATCATGAAAATTGAAGTATTATAATGGCATTTGTGTTGTTCATTTCTACTGATTACAAGAATCTCATCATTTGTTCTGTTTTTTTCTCAGGGAAATTTATCAAAAGACCTATGAGAGATGAATTATTAAGCACTTTAACCATGTAGTTTGATTAAATATATCAAAAAACCTATGAGAGATGAACTATTTAGCACTTTAACCATATAGTTTGATTAAATATATCAAAATACCTATGAGAGATGAACTATTTAGCATTTTAACCATGTAGTTTGATTAAATTTCAAAATACCCACAAAAGACACATTATCATGCATCAGAATACTGACAAATGTGTATTATTTGAAATAGTGCATCTCTCATGGGCGTTTTGATGAATTTCCTTTCTCTTTATTTGAAATAGCTATTATAATTTGTGCTATTGATTTGTGAATTTGTTCTTGGTTGACAGGTTGAGTACCTACCAATATCGTCTTTGGAGAAATCCCGTCAAATAATGGAAGAGTTTGTTGATATATGGCAAGAACTTGTCTCGAGAAAGTCGCTTCCTGGCCATTTTATGCACATCGAACCAAATTTCAGTGAATACGGCCTGTCAGATCCCTATAGCTTCCAACACACAGCAGTACAGTATGTCACAGTGATGATACAACTGATGGCTTCTGTAAGAAATTGAAACTCTCTGTTTTGGAGAGAAGCTATATTCATCATTTAAATCCTAATTAACTTCCCATAATTTCCTGATAGAAAATCTTCCAAGTGATAAAATTGGTCCAAATTTTCTAAATTTCCATGTCATTCAACTCTTTGCTAGTCCACAAGTTCGTGAAAACCAACTAAAAAATTACTCAAACACACAATGATCAAATATTTAAAAGTAATATCTCTACTGATAGATTACAGGAGTACAATATTGAAAAAATATATATTTTCTTTAAATTTGTCACTAAATAATATATGCAAATGAAAATATTAATTTCTTAATAAAACCTTAGAACAGAGTAAAATGACATATCTGTGATCTGCATGTGAACACATCTGTTATTGTATAAACTGGATTAATATAAAAGAAATAAGAGTTAAAAATATTAAAAACGTAAAATCTGCATCATGGATATTGTGATTTTGTCATCCAGAAATTTCAAATCCCTTGTTGTAGGTAGTACAAATTATTTTTAACAAGTAAAATGATGACCAATATTATTCATATTTATTTATTAATGCATAAAATATAAAATTAGGAATATCTTTTGTACATGGAGGTCACAATCATTATTGTCTATTCAATTTCAAAATGGGTGGTTGTAAGTGTTATTGAATAGACCATCCAATTTGACATCTGATGAGTGTAAATAATT